AGCTAGAGCTGGAGGCGCTGTTGAGCTAGAGCTTTGTGTGCGTTGGTGTCCACAAGGGCGAGGCCTGGTGTATTTATAGGGTCAGGAACTCAGGATGCATGGGGCTGTTGAGCTTTCCACTGTGTCTCTTAGAAATCGTACGGAAACGGAGAGAGAGAAGAAATGCATGCAGACGCACACCAATGCCTTGAGAGAAAAACGATGCACGACACCGTCTAACTTAGAACGAAAATGACCCGTATAAAATTCGGAAATTTGCACGCGCACGCACCTGCCAAGCCGAGCCCGGTCGCTCGATTGCCTCGTGATTCATAAAATAGTTGGATCCACACGAGGACATAGTAAAAAAAATAAGTTTAGGTTGTTGAAACTTATGAGTTTTTATCTAAAACTTGCAATTTTCTCACTCGCTTTTACCAAGTTTCACAATAAAATTTTAATATGATTTTTTGTCGGTCGCAGAAAAAAAATCATAATTTTATTGTTTGTGCATGCTAAGTTTTAAGAGTTGAAACTTAGTATTTATTTTTAAAATTCATCATAACATATTCAAAATTGATCTTATTTGAAAGACCTCGTCATGAGAAACATGAATATGGAAACATAACTTAATTTGAATTTTTGTACAAAAAATAAAAAAATTGAAAATCAAAAAAATAAAAGCACATCCAAGGTGCTGCTTACAGTGAGACCTGCATGCCACAAATCCTCTCCAGTATAAATTTACACCATGTTTGTCACTTCAAGATGGGGTGCCAAACATTATGTGTACACAAAATTTGATAAAATAAAAAGGACTGGCTAGGGGTAAGTTGATTGAAAAAGTAATTTGGGTCAGATTTGTTTTTAGCCGTCTGATGTCGAACAAATGCCCAGATGGCCTTTCTCAAACTCATGCCTTCTTGTTCATCTTCTTCCGCAACTGCCCCACGAACCACCGGCCAAACCGTCAGCCTTCAGCGCGTACGGCCTACGGCGCTCCTAGGCCAGCCTCGCCGCCCCACCTTCCCCTCATAGATCCCTACACCCCGTACCATCAAGTTTCTTACTCGCCTACGCCCGCTACAGCTCGTTCCTGCCCGAGACATTGCTAGTGTCCCCGGTGTTAAGATATGGTATTGTCTATTTCTCTTCATCGGTTCAGACTTTTGGAGTTACTAGTTGGAGAATGAGTTCAATACTCGGGCCTCGCTATCATTCGCGTGGGCGCCCCCGGCGATGTCCTCGGTGCTACCCGTTCTCACATGCTTCCTTCTCCACCGAATCGACTGGCCCAAATTCAAAATTCGGGTGATTGCCCTCCAAGAAAACTTTGAGTTAGGGTGTTAAACATTAACCATGTGCTATTCATAAGCTGCATCCAATCAAATTTTGTGTGAGTCAATTTATGTGAAGAAGAAAGGAGAGCGGCGCAGAGCAACAACGCCGGGATGGAGTCGGCGCAGAAGAGAGCAAGGAAGCCATGCCGAGGCAGGAACGACGCAGTTGGTCGCAGCGTCCCCAACGAGGCCTCATTAAGGCTTGGCCGGAGATGGGGACATGGTGGCATCGCTCGTGTAGCAGGAAAGAGGGTTCACATGTTTGAGGGAGGGATGGGGTGGTTTTCATTTTAAGCAGCTTGGCTTAGACCGCGCCGAACTTAAGATTGGGAGAGCTTGTCGGAGACAGGAACAATGAGGCTCCCCGCGGCATCACCAGCGGAGGAGAGGCAGGGGAGGAGAAAGAGATGGGCTCGCTGTAGGAGAAAAATGGAGGTGAGCTGTTGGATTGAAATTCAAGTGTTTGGGCTACTTACGAAGAGACAATCCTTAAACATTGTACATACACATGAAAATTATCAATGAGATGGAATTTGGACCTGGTGTCCTCTGCACCATGGAAGATGTACCTTGAAATTCAATTTTTTTGGGAGACTTACAAAGAGGCAATCCTTAAACAATATACATACACATGAAATTTATAATGAGAAGGAATTTGGACCTCGGGTCCTCTGCACCATGGAAGATGTACCTGGTACTCCCCTGTCCACCCTTATGCATGCATGCACTGACTCGGCAACACCCATACATTGAATGTTACAAAATTTCATTCTTAACAAAAACTAATCTACACGCACTTACGTACTGTATATGTGCTACACTTGATCACCTCAGATACACCGACCGTAAACTGGCCATGTCCTTTTCGGCCACATGACATTTTTTTTATCATGGGTTCACTCATGCATACATGCATGCATGACCGTGTCAAGCCGGCCCCTCCATCTCGTTCTGCTGATCATCTGGATCGGGAGAAACTTTGGACCGGGGAACAAGGAAAGGGGTGTGTGTAAATCGTGCGGCCAGCGAACTCGACCGTGCCTGCCCATTTTTGGCTACGAGCGCGCGCCTACATGCATGGCTGAATATATCTCGCGTGTCTTGTCCCGTCGCCAGCTGAATGTTCCTTTCAGCCCTATCTAGCTAGCTAGCGTGACCTTTAATTTGGCTATTGCCACGTCCAGACGTCCTGTCGCGTCGTTTCATCCGTGCTAGCCAGGTGCATGCAGACTATTCTTTCCCTGTCACCGCCGTATGGAAGCAGCAAACCAAAACTAATACGGTGCACAATGTTTTTTGCTCCCGGCCGACTAATTCAACAAAATACATGTGCTCAGTGAGAAGTAAGTAAAGCAGTGTGAAATAAATTTAATAAAATGTCACAGTGAGAAATAAATTTAATCTCTTATTGCGGAAAAAAGAAATGATGCATCGTTGCCAGTGAGAAATAAAATTAAATTTAATCTCTCATTTGGGTCTCCATGCACATATACTAGATATCCTACAGTTCACAAATAAGCAAGTGTTCCCTGAGAAAACAGATAAGCAAGTGATCTTTTCGACACTGAAACGTACTCTACTAAGAGATCTACCTTTTTTTTGGCGAAAAACTTACGATCTATTTATCTTCAATCATGGCAGTACACCAAACATCGAAAATAATAAAAATTACATCTAGATCTATAGCGATGACTATAAACATTGAACCGAGGCGAAGGCGCGCTGTCGTCATCATCCCTCCTTTGCCGAAGCCGGGCAAAATTTATTAGAATAGACAGTCGAAAAGTTGTCGTGCTAAGATCTCATAGAACCAACGCACCAGAACAGTCAGTGGCGAAGCCACGTTGAGAGGAGTGTGGTCAATTGACCACACAGGTTTTTGGAAAATCCTTTTGTACACAAGTAAAAATCATGCAAACATTTCTTTAAAGTTGGTGGAAACACATGTATTTGACATCACATATTTGAAATGACATCACAGACTTCTGATCCTGGCACCGCCATTGAGAACAGTAGCCGTTGCTGATGAAGAGTAGTATAGATCGAAAGGATCCAACCTTCATACGTCCACTGACGACTAGCGAACATATACCTAGCTATGGTTTGGAAATTTGCAGTCAAAATACTGGCTTGAAAGTATTTTTACAGTAAAGTTTTGTCTCACGCTTGAAGCTTCGCGGACTCTGAGGGAACGAGAAAACAACTTGAAAACTTCAATACAAGCCGTGGTACTTTTCTAGGGATAAATCCAACTACTGTGCTGAAACTCCTGCAATCCTTGTGAACTAGTAGAAGCTAGTAGTAAACAATAAAGAACTCGGTCCATTTTCCTAATTTGAATTTTGCAACACATTCCACGTTAGTGTCGTAGCTAGGTATCACTTCTTTTTTTGGCGGGGGGCTTCGCTTGTTTAAAACCCATATTATTTTTTATTTTCATGATGATCCCACCAAGGAAAAGAAATTACTAATGTGTAACTTTTCGCACTATTTCAGACCCACAAAGCTATACATATATTCTCTAAGTTGAGTCACTTATTTTGAAATGAAGGGAGTATATCACTTCCTTATCTCCCCGCCGTAACGACAATATCAATCATATAATCACCCCTGATTATTATTATGCGTGAGATCGATATACTTCACCAAACCAACATGATTAGCTGCCGGGTCATTGTATCGAGAGTACACAATTAATGTGGACGTATGTATGTCCACTGCTTATGAACTACAAAAACCAACCAAGAGACTCGATAGGGCTGACCTTGCACACGCATATGCATACAGCCAGGCATAATTAAGAAAACCGGGAATTAGGTCGAGCAGCAAGTG